TCGGTAAATAATTGACTCTATTAAATTGTTTATATATCTTTACGTTTTTCGATATCTGTATGCTATATTACATGCTTAAAGGGTTTAAGGGTTGAGCACCACTACGTCGGGCCCACAGTCGGAGGACAGCCGCCCCAGGGCATGCCGTACCCGCGGTTCCCGCCCTACGATCGGATGGAAATCCGGCAGGCGGCCGCCGCGGCCGGCTACTACAACAACCACCACCAGTCGTCCATGGACGGCTACAGCAGGCCCGAATCGCCCATCGGCGGTGGCTTGGTCGGTGGCGGCGGCGGCGGAGGCAGTGGCATGGGCCAGATGACCATGAACGGCCACACGCCCGTCGTGTACGCCACGTGCAAGCTCCAGGCCTCGGTGGCCAACGGTCTCGTCGAACCGGGCAGCCCCACCGACATGGTCGACATGACCAACCACCATCAGCAGCAACAGATGACGGCTGCCGGACATCACCATCACCAGCAGCAGCAGCAGCACCACCATTCGGCGCAGCCACCGCAGTCGCATCACCAGCAGCAGCAGCAGCAACAGCAAGCGTACTTCAGCAATCTGAGTCCGCACCACCACCAGCAGCAACAGCAGCAGTCGGTCGTCCCGCCGGCGCCTGGACACCACAACCAGGTCGTAGTCAACCCGCACCAACAGACGCCGCCGCTGCAGACTCCCACCGCTCAGAATCAACAAGCGGTCAACAACAACTCGCTGCCGAGTCCACTGTACCCGTGGATGCGAAGCCAATTCGGTAAGTACGAGCTCGGCGCTCAATTTTTGTTTTTATTTCATATATACAACCACCTATTCAGTCAGCTACTGTCATAAAAATCTTACATACCACACCCCCCCCCATCCAGGAAAGCCCCTCCACGTATAGGTACTCCTATCAGCATTTTTTTCCCCGTTTTTTATACGATCCGTTATCTCACCACCGTAATGGCCGGCACGTTGAAGGACAGCAATAAATCGTTTCGATAACCGACCACGACGGACAATGCCACTGCAGCAACAGGTACCTWTTTCTAACCGTTTCTCCGAGTGCGTAACACACCACTAACTCACACCGACATTCAACCCGGTCATACATGACATGACACATTTACACTATTTCCWATAATAATTATTATATCATGAACATCCTCATCTAACTTAGACTATTGAACCGTTTTGTGGAATGCGCCTGTGTCTAATATCTTACGCTATCATAACATAGGTATAAACAATATATCAATATATAGAGTGGTTTTATTTTTGTTCATTTTGTTTTTGTTTTTTTTTTCTTTCTTTTAACCGTCAAAAAGCGATAGTTTTTCAAATTTTTTATTTTTAGTTTGGCATGTGTTTTGTATCGCCACAATGTTAAATATTAATGTATAATAATTATAAAAAATAGCATGACGTTTTACACGCGTAGGCTGCGTTTCGCTGTATACCTACATACCGAATTTCGTTGGCGAGTTTTTATTTTAAATAGGTAACCGTACATCGCGCAAGATGACGTTTTATCGAGATACGCACTCGCGGGTTTGCCATCGTTCGCGACGTATATACGTAATAATATGATGGTGACCATCGTCACTGGGGGTCTTCGCCCAGGTGTAATTTTTTTTGTCGGCTCGTCTCTCGCATAAATCATACGAGAAAAAAATCCAACGTCGTCCGATATCGTGATTCACAATGGACATTCGTTACGTATTATCGATAAAACTTTTTTTTTTT